GCTCAGGATCCACGCTGGTCAGCAGACTGATGGAAAGTTCCATAGAAAAGCAGATACAGTGGGGAATGTGAGTACCTCCTTGGAAAATGTACCACATTGGCTGCTAGATTTCGCTCTCTATATAGGCTAGAGGCTCAAACCATCTTTCTTGGATTCTAAAGGGAAAGAAGTTCCACAATTCTAGATTTTAGGGGCTCCTTGGGCTTCATTGTTACACAGCAAGTTATTTGTGGCACAGAGCTGGGCTCTTCCAAATTTGACTGTTTACTCTTTTATTTATCCATTATTTTTTTTTTGGGGGGCGACAAGGACCAATTCTTGAACCTCTTCATTTTCATCATCTATTCTTTTGGGACCATTTATACATACACACACACACACATACACACACACACACACACACACACAGAGTTTGGGTTCATTCTGTTGAATCATTTCATGAAGAATACTGTGTAGGCAATAATAAAGAACAACAAAAGCTATGTGGAGGGGAATTAGGTGAATGGTGATGCTTACTCTCCAGCTAGGCAACTCACCTTACCACTTCCTTGTCTCTAGCTTTAAAGGACAAGACCTGACTTCATATTTCAGTCCAAATTGTCACGTTATGGGACTCTAAGGTGTTTTGTGAACAGCTAAAAACAAACATTACTTTTACCATCTAAAAGCATACTACTGACATTACAACTTCATGTGTTTGCTTCTACTGCCTTAAAGCCATTGGCAAAGTAGCCTACTTCAAAGAATATGAACTTACAAATATGTCCAAGGCATTTAAAATCCTGTGTGAATTCTGAACTTGGGGATTAAATTAATGCTGAAGAAAGTTGACTTGACATGGCCTCAAATTTTGTTCCTCTTATTTAGGTGAAAGAATTTAGGGACATCAAAACATTATGCTGAAATTTCAACAGAAACAAACCACATTTCATGGCTTTTACATGTTTAAGAAAGATACATGTGGGCTGGGGATGTAGCTCAGTGTTACAGCTCTTACCTAGCATGCACAGACCTTGGATTCAATTCCCAATACTACAAAAAAAAAAAAAAGGATGTTTCCTTCTGTAAAATATTTCAACAAACATGAGATGAGGAAACAACAGGAGGTGGAAGTTATGTAGTTATATGCCGTTAGCCCTCAGTGAAAGGAAAGTGACCACAACACTTGGAGTGACCAAGAGATCTTTATTGCAGCAGTGAGAGAGAGAGAGAGAGAGAGAGAGAGAGAGAGAGAGAAGAGGAGGAGGAGGAGAGGGGGAGGAGGGGAGGGGAGAGTAATAAAAAGAGAGCACAAGAGAGAGGGCCCTGCAGGAGGGAGTTTTTATAGCCAAAATCTAATGGGGTCTTGGGGTCTGCAAGCTGCCTTATTGGCATACAGTGATTGGATCATACAGTAGTTGCTAAGAGTGTCTTCTTCTGCCTTCAGGCAGATGGGGCAGGGGTCAGATGTGGGTTTCTGTTGCACCAGACGGGTGGGGGTCAAGTGTTCAGCCTTGAGTGGGGTTGGGTGTTCAGCCTTGAGCGGGGTTGAGTATTCAGACTTGATGCAAACAGGTGATAAAAGACCAGACAGAGGGGGGTTTGAGTGCTCAGGTTATCCTGCAGCTAACATTTGTTCAGCCTGCCTGACACTCAGCAGCACAGAAAATCCAAAGTCTCTTAAAATCCAAGTGCTATTGCACATTCATTCATTTAAAGCAAAAGGATAGTTCCCAAGAAAATTGAGGCACAACTCCTTAGACTAAGAGAACCTTGAGAGCAGATATGAATGTGTTCCTATTAGAACTCATCAGTTGACCTCTACATTCCATTTCTTACAGTATCTCCGTGTGCCCTGCATGTCATTCCTCACAGTGAGCAAACTGATTCCATTAGAATGTGTAGGTGGAAGGAACCAATAGGGTTACTGTCATTCAGAATGATGCTGACACTGTTCTAATCACTTAACATATACTGAGGAAGATAACGTCTGGCTAAGTGAGAAAAAAATGCTTGGCACCAAACAACATGAGCTCTTAAGCCAGATTACCAGGTTTGATTCCTAGTTCTATCATTTCATAGCTGTGTGACTTTAGGCCAAATAACTTCATCTTGTACCTCAGTTTCCTAAAAAAAAAATGATGATAAAATTTCATAGGGTATGGTAAGAATTAAATGAGTTAATGGGGGGCGGGGGATGTGGCTCAAGTGGTAGCGCGCTTGCCTTCCATGTGTGGGGCGCTGGGTTCGATCCTCAGCACCACATACAAATAAAATAAAGATGTTGTATCCACCGAAAACTGAAAAATAAATATTAAAATATTCATTCTCTCTCTCTCTTTAAAAAAAAATGAGTTAATGGAACAAAGTGCTTACAACAAAGACTTGAAACTATTTGATTTTATCCTAATCCCTTACACACACACACACACACACACACACACACACAAACACACACACACACACATATCCCTTGCTTGTATTCTAACTGGTGGAGTCTGGAATTTGTACAGCTAACTGCTCTCCCACACCTGGGCATGTACTTCTCTCAAACAATGAAGGCAAAGTCACTTCTCTGGCTAGTGATAGAGGAATGGCAGATGTTTCAATTTTAGTCAATGAGACACAAGTTTCCTGTGGGATGGGAGTGTTTACGGAAGTTTTCTTTGCAAAAGAAGTGCATTAGAAGAAAATGTCTCTTTTCTTCTAATGATACCGCTTATACACTTACCTGTAAAAGCAGAGCCATCTTGGCACTGTGAAGGGAGCTGGAAGAAAAAAGGGAACAATAATGATTTTGTTCAGTTGAAGAATTAACCAGCCCTGAAGTTCCTACTTCTGAACTTTTTGAGTGAAGTAAATTTTCCTTACTGCTTAAAGCATCTTGAGTAGGCTTTTCTGTCACTGTATCTGAAAGTACCCTAACAGAGCATCTATTAAGTTGAAGATATCTTAAGGAAATACAAAGTGTAAAACTCTGAACCTGATCTCAACAAATTTTTCATACACTTGTGGGAGATAAACCATAAAAAGAAAACTATTATAGTAGGCAGTGAATGTTAAGTGCTTGGATTAAGGTAGTCTAACTAAGCAATACAGTTCATACATCAGGAGTGGCCTCAAAGAATGAGGAAAACATGAGCAGGGGAAGAGGGAACATTCTAAGGTAGGGAAAATAATATATACAAGGGGTGAGTTAGAGATTGTATTAATTTACTAAGTCTTCCATAACAAAAATACCACACATTTGATTGCTTAAAACATAAGTTTATTTCTCACAGTTCTGGAGGCATGAAATCGAAGATCAAACTGTTGGAATCGCTGGTTCCATTTTGAGGCATCTCTTTGATTCGTACATGGCTACCTTTTTGCTATGTCCTCTCATCCTTTGTGTCCTTATGTATTCACAATTCCTCTTCTTATAAGGGTATCAGATTGGATGAGGGTCCACCTTAAATGGTCTTATCTTAATCATCTCTTAAACACTCTGTTTCCAAAATAAGTCTGAGGTATGGATATTAAGGATTCAACATGAATTTTGGGGTGGGAGGACATGATTTAACTCACTAGGGATGAAAAAGAAGTCTAACAGAGATCACTGGAGGATGAAGTTGGAAGTTTATGTTAGGACCAGACGTAGGTAACCTTGAATGTTGGGCCTAGAATTTACTCTTGCAGCAGCAGGGAAGCAACATAGATTTTTAAAAATAATTTGACAGCAGTGTGCCACAGGTGTTTTATACGAGAAAGAGCTGGATAAGAGAAATGGATTAGGATTGCTGTTGCTATAGTCTATATAGATACTGATAAGGACAAAAATGAACTCAGGAGGAGAATTAAATGAAAGAGCAAAAAGGGCAAAGATGTATGCTTGCAAATTTCCATCAATCAAGTCAGTGTAAGTTTGTGCTATAATGATTTGTCCTTTACAAAGAATTACTATTTTGTCATAATAGGGTTGTGAAGCTAGGGCATTGGGATATCCATTTTGAAACACTTAGGACTAATAATATGAAAGGGAACAGACTGCCTTGATGGGTATACCCTGAGATGTTCTAGAAATCAGTTTTATAGAAATGTGAAAATATCAAGTAGAATGCTGAATTATTAGATATTCTTCAAGGTCCCATCTATGGCTTAGTGTAAAAGTTAGAGTCCAGGAGAAGCAAAGCATCTAGCAAATACTCCCAATTGCCTAGTGTTTTCACAGAGAAGATCTAGAATAAGGTGTCTCTCTCCAACTGTGGTTGGAGTAGACCCTTTTGTTGTCTAGTTTAATACTCAGCTTACTTCAAGAGCAAGAGAGTGGTATATAGAATATAATAAATGGGCTTGAGAAATTAAGAATTTGATCACTAAAATGGAAACTTAGGATTCCAAGACCTCTTGAATTATAAACTTAGAATGTATGACTTCTGTAAATTATAATTCCCCCACCCCACACAGTTATCAAATACACATTTTCATAGCCATACATATAAAAAGTATATATACACTATAAATATTTATATTGCTAAATATGTTATACATAAACAGAAAGGTTTATGATTTTTATTTCTTTAATAACAGCAGAGTTTGCATTAAACATTATCCAACAATTTGTATATTTCATATAAATGTATTTATATATAGCCCATATTTAAAATATTTTGTTAAAAATAAGGCCAAATATACCACCTAATCTGGATTATGTAAGTATCCAAAAAATATGGTATTCTAAAGAAGTTATAATAAAATAATAAATTTCTGTCAGTTCTTAAACATTACAATATGTAGGGTTATTCTGTGTCAAACATTTTTATTAGACTCTTGAAGAAAAATAGAATGATTCAATATCTTTGTACTTTTTTTTTAAAGAGAGAGGAGAGAGAGAGAGAGAGAGAGAATTTTTTTTTAATATTTATTTTTTAGTTTTCGGCAGACACAACATCTTTGTTTGTATGTAGTGCTGAGGATGGAACCTGGGCCACACACATGCCAGGCGAGCGCGCTACCGCTTGAGCCACATTCCCAGCCCCTCTTTGTACTTTTATTAACAGAAAAACCTTTCCAGATGATTTCAGATATTGAGTTTTTTATCGGAATAGAATGAATATATACATGGTACCAATTTCAAAGGCTGTCAAAAGGTACATGTAGTTAAAAGGAAGTATTCCTTTCTTCTCAATTCCCCAACCTTGTAATTTCTTTTTACAAGAAATTATTATTATTATTATTTTTTTTTGGTGGTGCTGGGGATTGAACCCAGGGCCTTGTGCATGCAAAGCAAGCACTCTACTAACTGAGCTATATCCCCAACCCCATCAACCCTATAATTTCTTTCCTTGGAATGAACCGTTAATGAGTTTCTTATAAATTCTAAAAGTATTTCTGAAGATTCTATACAACACTCTATCTTATCCCCCAAAAGAAATCTAGAAATTTTTATTTCAATTTTGACTTCTTGATCTAGTGACAGAGAAGAGATAGATAAGGCCACCAAGTCAAAAGGTTTATTTGGGATCTTGGGATAATGAAGGATAAGTAAAGACTTATTTGGTCATCAAAGATTAAGAGTTTTGAGAAAACTGATAAAGCTCTTGAGTATATCTTTTTTTTCTTTTTAACCTTCATGGCAATGTAGCAAAAGACAAAGGTGAAGTATATCCTATATAGATAACTGGCCCCCAAATTTTGACTCATTCTTTGTTCTAAGACAGCACAGTTAACAATTTTAGACCTACACTTTTATGAAATGTAAACTTCATTTACAATTTTACATTTTGATTTTGAGATAAATTCAAATTAAATGGGGAAGATATTGGAATTTGATGTTCTTGTTTTTAGTGAGTCACTTTACCTGGGTCTTTTTGGAGCCATTATCTATGAATCACAGTTACATGCATTCTCACTTTCCTTAAAGACCATCTGTTGTTTATGCAAAGGTAGAAGTACCTATAGGAAGGTTAGTTTTCAGTTTGTTAGTAAAAGGGAAGCCAGATAGCCAATACAGAAATGCCAAAATGGCCCAAAAAAGTATTAAACTTACCATAACAGATGAAAAGTTATAGATTTATTATAACAGTAAATATACATCTTAAGTAGCAACTAGTAAAGTGCAACTAGTAGGACTACCACACAAGATAAAAGAAAAAGGTTTGTTGATAATATGAACAAATACCTAAAAAATTGTTGAAAACAACAAAGCTTTAGAATGTTAGTTCCTCACATTCCACATAGAATTTCCAATGCTGATCCATTATATGGCATGGGAGAAATTCTTGATCGTTGATTAAAAGTATTTCATTGATTTGTAGATGATGTGGGATGTTTTGTACTGACTCTCTGGAAGTGCCTGTTTAAACATGCATCAAGAAATTGAGAAATTAAAAACTGCCTTTCACAATGTAAGGTTTAAATTTATTATAATTTCTAGAATCTAGTAAAATCTATGTGAGAGGACACATAACAGGTTCTTTGTCCAGGGCATTCTTCACTCATTCCATTTTTTGTACCTGAGGCAAAAGTATGAACCAGTACTGGCTGACCTTGGGAGAGAGGCCTGTTTACAGTCCAAAATAAGAGCATTTGGAAAAGAATGAGGGAAGCTTCTTAAGGTAACTGAACAAGCCCCTCTGCCTCAATGCCTCAATTTCCAATAAACTAGAAACAAGACAGTTGTGATGATTACATGAGATTTTGCATGTGTAATGCTTAGCAAATTCCCTGGAATATAGCAAATATTCAATAAATATTAGCTGCTATTATTATCATTATTATTTATTACTGAAAAGAATATTAGGCTGGAAGATAGATGATCTGTCCTACCTCTACCATAAACTTGGTGTGTGATCTCAAGAAAGTTACATGGTTTCTCTGAACTTTCATTTCTGAGAGATGAAGAGGACTGATGATTAAAGAGGGTTCTTTTTGGCTCTGCCAGTTTAAGGGGTCAGTGATCATAAAACTGGTTTCTTTCTGCTCCCCAATTGTTAACCTCCAACAGACAGTTTTAGTTAGACATACCCATATAGTCTCAGAGCTTTGTTCATAATCCTAGGTGATATGTTTTACACTAACTAGATATCTTCAGGTCAGTGACTTTTTTATGCCTAGTACTCATTTATGCTTCTCTGTATGAACATCCTTTTCCCCCACACTTGGTCTATGTGAAGTTGAAGTTCACCAACAACTGGTGAAGTTGTTCTGCACAAGATTTACTTAGCTCTGAGCCAATCAGTAAGTAGGCTTTGATTCAAAAAAGAGAATATAACCCATTCAAAGGAAAGTGTAGATGCAATATGATTGTTATTAGGTCTTTTAGGAAAGAGCCCCATACATATTTTTCTTTGCTAGACTTGAACCTGGTAGAATATAGAGCTGGGATAATGAGGAGAGGCTATTAGGATGGAGCTGAAATGGGAAATGGAGCTAAGAAATGAAAAGCAGAGAAACTGGGTGCTTAGTCATGCTGTTCAAATCCTGGATAAAGCTTGAAGACCTGTTCCTGACTTTTCATGTAATGCATAAATAAAATTCCTTTTTTGGAAGTTTAAGCCAATCTGGATAAGATTTTAAGCTGTCATTTATAATACAAAGGATTTTGACTTTTTAACCCATGGTCTATATATAAACACAATAATTCCTATATTAATAGCTTTGGTTTTTTAGACTTTCTGAGACAAGGTATCCCACAAAAGTTGGGGGTACGGAATATTTTTCTCTGAGGAAAAATCACAGAAATAAGGCTTTCAATAATTAAACATATTTCATCAAAGTTGGCTTGGTTTCATCAATTAAACACTATCATTTACACTAGTCCCTTCTCCCACAAGACACTGTCCCCTACTTCAGATATGATTTGAGAAAGTTAATGCATCTACTATAGTTTATTTATATTTCACAATTTATTCTTAATTTTTCAATATTCAGGAATGTGCAAATACTCCTATAGGACTGCTATTCAGAAGTAGAATTACTAAGTTGAAGGATTTGTACACATCTTATTATTTTTATTTTCTTTTAGTTGTAGATGGACACAATACCTTTATTTTATTTATTTATTTTATGTTGTGCTGAGGATCAAACCCAGTGCCTAACACATGCTAGGCAAGTGCTCTACCACTGAGCCACTACCACAACCCAGATTTATACACATTTTAAATTTAAAAAATTTCTGCAAGAGGAGCCCTCAAATGCATCCTTTTAAACTCTCACCAATAATATATACAAATACAGGTTAGATAACCTGTTTTTTCTTCCATATATTTGCCAACACCGAATATTATCAATGTTTTTAAACTTTCCCACTCTGGTAGTAAAAAAAAAAAAGTCTCTATTATTTTATCATTCATATCTTTCATAGATTTAATGTCCTTTAAAATTTCTAGGACTGGGAAAGTGCCTATTAATTCTGTCTGCATGAATTTTATATGATATTAATCAGAGCATGGTACTAATTAGGTCAGGAATTTAATCACTGTATAGATCAAAATTCTGCTCCAAAACTGTATTCCTTAGTTCACTGGGCACCTTCACTGGAATGTAATGTTTAGTTAAATCTGGTGTTCCATAAGACAGAAAGCTAAAAGTTCATGTCTTGATAACAACACACCCACAGCATTAGTTCTGAAATATCTACATATTTAATATTTAACTCAACCATTGCTTCAGAGAATCACTGCTTACATTTCTTATTCTGTGAAGACTAAAATGAAAAAAAAATGTGTTTGTTTTGAGACAGGGTCTCATTGCCAGGCTAATCTTGGACTCCTGGGCTCAAATAATCCTTCCCCTCAGTCTCCTGAATGTAGCTGGAACTACAGGTGGTATCACCACATCTGGCTTAAAATAAGTTTTAAATAGCTCATTTTTATTACTTTTCAATGCATCAAATATTTTAGTAATGCATATATACATTAATTATTATTTAGCAACAATGAATGACTGCTGGAAACAGATGCAATACTTCTGATTATTGATTTCCATAATGTTATATGAAACTGTTAGGAAAACAAACAAGTTCATAATTTGGTAACAAGTATGTAATTCACATACAGTTTAAATGACATTATATAAAAACTATTCTATTGTTAATAATTCTATTAAAAGCACAAAAGAAACAACTGGGGGTGAGCCAAGATCTATTAACACTCTGGCACTGGGAATTCCTCTACTTGCTGCCAGAGGGGAAGGGCAGGAAAGTCCTCAGCTGACAAGGTACACACTTTTCTCAAGGAACAAAACCCTACCACCTTAGACCTGGGCTCTCTTTGAGTCTTCACAGCCAGCCCAAGAACATTCACATCATCCTGCTGTTAATCCAGTGTTCAGAGAAGGTTCACTGCTTGAATCTCCACTATAAAGTTTCTTGCAACATGTCAAATTACTCAACACAATTTATTATGCTTAAATAGATATTTCCCTTATTAATAGCTGTATAAAAAAAAATTTCTGGCAGAGACTATGAGTTGCCTCCACTCCACCCCACCCCTCACAGCAACAGAATTGGGCAATACGGTAAGTGGAAAAACTTATTTTTCAGCCCTTCTTAAAGCTAAGTGTGGCATTTGACTAAATTCTGGCCAATGAATTGTAAACCAAATGTGTAGATTTCAGGGACAGGTATCTTTTTAAGGGAAAAGACATCTATCAAAGTTCCCCACCCCAGCCGGTTTTTTGCCACCTTGCTTTCAATCTTCCAAATGACTAGAATACAGATGTGATAGATGGAGATTCATTACTACTTTGGGTCATGGATAGACCTGAAAATGTAAATCAGTGCTGAGGAAGATGGAGCAGAAAGACAGTATGACTTTCCAGTGGTGCTCTGTCTACTCGGGATCACTAACATCCAGTCTTCTCCATGAAAGAATAAAACTTTGTGTGTTTAAACTATGGTATTTGAGGTTTTCTGTTGCATGCAGACAAACTTAATCCTATCTATAAAGAACTTCTATACTCTAAGAATTAGATAGAACATTTTTGTAAAGATCTAGACAACTGGGTCTGAGAACTTTAATATTTAGGCATATGAAAAAAATACAAAGCCCATCCAGTATCTAAGTTTTGATATCCCTTTTACTATAATATGCATATTTTAAAATATTTTTTTTTCAGTTGTAGATGGACACAACATCTTTATTTTATTTATTTATTTTTATGGTGTGCTGAGGATGGAACCCAGTGCCTCACACTTGCTAGGCAAGTACTCTACCACTGAGCCACAACCCCAGCCCTATAATATGCATATTTTAAGAAATTCCAATACATGAGATCAAATAAGTAGATGACTGAAAATATGAATACCATGGAAAAATATATGATTTAAGGGAACAGATCAGCAAGGTACAAGTATTGACATTTAAATATAACCATTTTATAGCTATCATAATCCCTGTAGTTTCATTGATATTGCTTTAGGAAATTTTATATACATCATCTCATTTGATCCTCTTGTCTGTTATTGCAGTCACATGTGGAATTAGGAAAAGCTATGGAAAACCAGAGGAAGGGTGGGATTGTATGCACAAAAAACCCCAGCATCTCTTTTCAAAGGGCAGGCCTCCCTCAAATGTCACAGGCCTAAATAAAGGCACTTTTAAAAAGGGTCAAGAACACTGCAAATAAGATGAGTTTCATTTTATTTGGAATAAATCATCACTATGTTGTTCACATAGAGAAGATGTCTAGCCAAATACAGAATGGTATGCAGTAACTCTGGACAAAGCAAAGTGCCCATCTTCCCAAGTAATACATTGAAAATAGAATATACCAACATTGGGATGCTTGAGATGATACAACAAAATTGTCTGGAAAACACTTTCAGATGGACACTTGTAACTTAGTGACTTCTGGGAGTAGAATTTTCTCTAACAAAGCAACGCTGTAATACTAAAACTGTTTCTCCTGCCTCCCCATTTCTCTGACCATTCCCATTACTCATCTTTGTCAAATTAGAATACATGAGAAAGCATTCTATAAAATTGTAAAGTGTTAGTCAATATTGCTTTGTATTGTAAACTAGCTCAGACTCCACAAGTTTAAGGGCTCAGTCTCACAAGATTGTCCTCATTTCTGATACCAGCTGTAAGCATTAGGTCCTGGGTCACCTATACTTCTGTCTGACTTAACTAGAAATTTGAGGGTTTTTCACAACATACCCTTCCCAAGGGGAATTTTCCAGAATGACTCACACAACTCAGGAAAGTACTTCACTTAGTATTACCAGTTTTTTTTTTTAAATAATTACACTCAGGAATAGCCAAATAAAAGAGATGCATAAGGCAAGGAACTTCCATGTTTTCTCTGGGTCTGGAACTCTCCCAGAACCTCAATGTGTTCCCCAATTCAGAA